TGGCCAGTGCTCATTCTGTCTCCTGACAGCCCTCGTCCCCTTTAGGGTCTCCCCCTCCTCCCCTGGACTCGGTGGAACTGTCATTTAAGATGCTCCACTTGCCCCAGCCAAAGCTCCAAGGCCAAGCGGACCCCTCTCCTGGGATTTTATGAGTCTTGAGCAGCATTGCCTCCTCCTGGAAATCCTCCCTCCCCTGAGACAGGCGCCTCTTTCCGGTGCTCGAGTTCTAGCTGTCGGGACACTTACATGCCAGGATGTGTGTCTGCAGCCCCACCACGGCCCTAGCCTTGTGCAGTGTCCAGCACATGGTTGGTGCTCAATAGATGACAGCTGAATGATGTCCACATTGCTCAGAGCTAATGAAGGCGCTTGAATTTTATTTTATTTTATTTTATTTTATTTTATTTGAGATAGAATCTCACCTTGTTGCCAGGCTAGAGTGAGTGCCATGGCGTCAGCCTAGCTCACAGCAACCTCAAACTCCTGGGCTCAAGCGATCCTCTTGCCTCAGCCTCCCGAGTAGCTGGGACTACAGGGGGCTTGAATTTTAGATTAAAAGATCCCAGAAACTCTTGTACATGTTCCGGGAATGTGGCTACAGCTTTCAGGCCCTCCAGTCTAATCCCAGCCCATGGCCACCTCTTCTGAACCAGGACGCACTTCCCTAGCCAGGTTCAGCCTTCCCTGAATCCCCACTGTCCCCCACCTGGGCCTTGGCCCCTGTTCCTGCCCTGCCCTGTGCAGAAGCATGAAAGAGTGTGAGGTTGGGCTGTTGTTGCCTTAAACAGGCTACACAAGGGACAGTGCCTTACAGAGTCACTACCATCCTCGGACTAAACCTCATAGATTTAGAAATGTGAACACTGTTTGCAATAATGCTGCTGACCGTCACTGTTTGCCTCTGAGTCTCTTATTTTTGTGCAGGTGGACTGCACACTCTTTCTTTAGAAATGTCAGTACCTCTCAGTCCTGTCTGACATTGGCCTCAGGTCATTCTGACTTGTACGGATAGAGAATGAGCAGCGGAGCCTGGAGCCACGCCCGGGCAGCCTGACTCCCGGGTCCTTGCTCAGCACCTCTCCGCTCTGCAGCTTCGTCAGTGGAAGCACATTGAAGTTCTTTTCTGTGCTGAAGAGGTTCAGACTGTTAGAAATGTGTAAGGCTGTTTCTGGGATCACATTCTGTAAATCTGTCCTCATTTTTTTTTTTTTTTTTTTTTTTTTTGCCTTTTAGAAACAGTGAGAGAGAGAGAGACAAAGAGAAAATAATCTAAAATATTATAGACTATAGTTTGGGGTTTTTAAAAAAATCAATTATATTATCTGCTCATCTTAGAGACGTGTAAAGATAACCACTGGTGGAACAAACAGAATGTATAACCTTCAAACCAGTGGACAGATGGATCTGTTAAGGTTCTTGGTTGCAAATGATTCGGGCCAACTTAAGCAGAAAAGGAATTTGTTGAAAAGCTCTCGGTATCTCAGAATACCAACAGGAAGGCTGGCAAACCTGGCCGAGAAAAAGGGCAGAACGCAGGGAAGGCTGGGTAGGATGCTGCTGCCCCTGGACATGCCTGTCCCTATTGTTGTGTGTCTTAGTGTCACTTTCTGCAGATACAAGTCCCATGTTGGGCCATGCAGCTAGCTGGGTTTGTCATGTGCCACATGGTGGGCGGCAGCAGTGGAGAGGATCCAGAACTTCTTCCGCTTCTGTAGTGGGAACCTGGGCTCGGTCTCCCACCAAGTCACATAGTGAGGGATTCCCCACAATGGGAAAGGAGTTCAAATGCCAGGGTGAGCCCCCTCCCCAAAAGGAAACTCCTCTCTGCAAGGAAATCTTGGAATAAAGAAAACTTGATAGATCAATTAGATGACAAGAATGGGGAAAGCGGGGAGACCCTGAGAAGTATACAAATATGGGACGGTTTCCCAGATGTCAGGGTTGATTCGGAAATACCATCTGACTGTGCAGAGAACGTAAAGTGCTATGTTCTCTGTATCTGCTACAGGCAGATGCAGCTTTGTTTGTTGATGAGACTAATCCTGGACTTTGAATTTCCAAAGAAAGCAAGCCTTTCTAAGAAGGAAAAGATTATTCCAGTATCTTCACCCTGGCCTTCAGGAATACTGGCAGAGAGGGGTGCATGTGATGGACGGTGGGATCAGATAAGAGGTGAAGCTTAGAGGAGGCTGACGGATTGGGAGAAAAGAGCCGTCTAGAACCCAGGAGTGCAGATGAGGTTAAAAAATAAATCTGTCATGAGAGTAACAGTTACTCTGTCAACAGAGTAACAGGGCAGGAACGAGGCCGTCATGGGCAAGAGTTCGCACTTTCAGAAATGGAAAATCTCCGGAGACACTGGGAGTGAGGATGGGACCAAGGGGCCCAGAGCCAGGTGAAGGAAGGTCTCTAGACTACCAGAGCCATTAGGAACTGGTTCCTGGCCTGTGAGTAGCTCTGGATTCCTAGGAGAATGCAGCCCTGGCGTGGCCAGTGCAGAGGGCGAGTGACACCTCCTAAGAGGGCCGGGGACAGGGGTGCAGCTTCAGGACTGTCACCATGTCCTTGGCAGGCAGCGATGGGGAGCCCCAGCTGGGTCTCGCTGCTAACTTTCCATTTCCATCCCTTTCTCTCAAGGGCTGAGCTCAGAGCTGTTGTTGCCATTTTCTGTGGTAACCGGTGACCTGTGACAAGTGGGACCTGTCCACTGACAAGCCGTGGAGACACTCTAAGACATACATCATGCTCACACTAAGGAGCACCTTCCAGTTCACGCCCACCTCCCCAGTCTCCCCAGCATGGCCGTGCACAGCGGGCCCTTCGTGAATACCGGTGCCCAAGGCACCTCAGAGGGTGCGTCTCCTCCTGCTGTCGCGGAAGAGAGGCCTCCGGAAGTTCAGAGTTGGTCTTTGGGAACAACTTCAGGGTCCAGCCTGAAGTTTGGGGTCTGGTGGCTTCCCCTACCCACCCCCGGGGCTCCCTGGGAGCTCATCTCAGGGGCAGCCCCCAGGCACTCACAGCTCTGCACAGCCTCTTTCCTTTTTCTTTTTTGAGACAGAGTCTCGCTTTTATTGCCCAGGCTAGAGTGAGTGCCGTTGCGGCAGCCTAGCTCACAGCAACCTCAAACTCCTGGGCTCAAGCGATCCTTCTGCCTCAGCCTCCCAAGTAGCTAGGACTACAGGCATGCGCCACCATGCCCAGCTAATTTTTTCTATATATATTAGTTGGCCAATTAATTTCTTCCTATTTTTAGTAGAGACAGGGTCTCGCTCTTGCTCAGACTGGTTTCAAACTCTTGACGTTGAGCAATCCACCCGCCTCGGCCTCCCAGAGTGCTAGGATTACAGGCGTGGGCCACCACGCCCGGCCTGCACAGCCTCTTTTCGTGGGCTGTCACTTTCAGTCAGGACAGGCCCAGGGCCACCCACTGAGGAAAGCCCCCTCCCGCAGCCAGCCTCCCCTTCAGCTCCCTGATCCATGCTCTGGCCTCCATGAGGTCCCCACCTCTCCCATTGTCCACAGTGTCCCCCGGCTCCCCCCAGAGCCTGTACTGCTCTCTGTCCCAAAGGCCCCGTGCTCCGCCTCTTTGGTGCCTACTCATCCGGAGCTCCTCCAACAGCCGGCCCTGCAGGCAGAAGGGCCCCTCTACCCCTGACAGCAGGGACCTCGCCGGCCTCTTCTGAGCTCAGTAGGCAGGAGGGATCCGGGCCTTCCTGGGCCAGCCTCTGGGAACTCACCCTGCTGTGGCTTCTGCAAGGCCCAAGGGACTCGCCCGGGGCTGGCCAAGGCCATCAGAGAGGAGCCAGTAAGTAAACTGAGCTCAACTTTGAATTTGGATAGAACATTTGCTGGGAATAAGACCAGATACAAAATTGCGCATAGACCATGAGCACAACCATATAAAATATTAGAAGGAAACATGCCAAATTATACAGTGATTACCTCAGCAGAGGTTTTTTTTCTTTTCCTTTAGACTTAATCCTCTTTAAAAAATCATAGTAAAATACATATAACATGAAATTTACCATCTTAACCATTTAAGTATACAGTTCAGTATTACGAAGTGTATTCACATCGCTGCACAACCTATCTCCAGAACTTTTTCATCTTGCAAAACTGAAACTCTGCAGGCATTAGACATCTCCCCCACCCTCCCCCAGCTGCTGGCAGGGGAACCTATTGATTCAGTCCCTACTGAGCACTGATTTGGTCCACAGGGATCCGGGATGGGACTCAGTTTCAAGGAGTTACTTGTCCCTGTCCCTTTTCTCACCTCATTGAGCCCAGCAGAACTGTCCCCACAAGGCCCCCACAGGGCCTTGCCCTTGGCCACCTGTGTCTCTTGTCCCCAGAGCCCCTCTGGCCAGTCAGGTCCAACGCTCTGCTCACCGGGCCCCCACCTGTGTGCAGGTGAGCGAGGGGAGGGTGCTCCCACACCGCCCCGCCCGCCTGCTCTAGGACAAGGGAAGAACACGAGGTTCTAGGGGTTGTGTGGAGGTCAGGGAGGAAGTAGTGGTTGGGGTGACAAGGATGCAGAGAATAATTTCTGTCCTGTCAGTCTAAGGGTTTCAGTTGGTTCCGTCACAAGCAGTGACTTATGCACACACATAGAAAACCACAAAGTGCCAAAGCGTGACGCTGTAGAAAGTCAGCGCTCCTTTCATTTTGCAAGCAAGGAACCAAGGCCTAGAAAGATGGGGCCGGGCGCGGTGGCTCACACCTGTAATCCTAGCACTCTGGGAGGCCAAGGCGGGCGGATTGCTCAAGGTCAGGAGTTCAAAACCAGCCTGAGCAAGAGCAAGACCCCGTCTCTACTAAAAATAGAAAGAAATTAATTGGCCAAATAAAAACATATAGAAAAAAATATTAGCTGGGCATGGTGGAGCATGCCTGTAGTCCCAGCTACTCGGGAGGCTGAGGCAGGAGGATTGCTTGAGCCCAGGACTTTGAGGTTGCTGTGAGCTGCGCTGACGCCATGGCACTCTAGCTCGGGTAACAAAGTGAGACTCTGTCTCAAAAAAAAAAAAAAAGAAAGAAAGAAAGATGGGCAGATTTGCTGGGTGCAAAGTGGCGGCAGCAGGGCTGAGATTGCCAGGGATCCAGATGCCCTGGATCCCTGGCACCCCTGCCAGAACCTGCAGAAGCTCCACAAGAAACGAGAAGAAAGCTGGGGCCCCGCAGAAACGTTTCAGAAATTGGCAGGGAGTCCCCAGAAGGATGACTGCGGAGCCCAGCTAACTGTAGAGGAATGCGATGCGTCAGTAGGGGAAGGACTTGGGCTCTGGGGGTCTGCAGCGATCAAAAGCACATGATACGGTGCCTGGCACGAGGTGGGTCCTCGATAATCAGGGACTGGTCCTTTCCCTTGCAGTTTCCCTCAAATCTCAAATACATGGGTGGGGCCGGGAGTCACTGAGGTGCCGGTCAGAGATTCTAGGCTGAACTGGGGACAGGACGTACAGGGGGACAGGCCATGAGGACATCCCTGCGGGGGAAGGCAGCTGTGTCTCCTCAGACTCCGTGTGGTCCTCTGGCCCCTCCAGGTGAAGCGCTTTGAGGCTCCACTCGGGAGGGGTCAGTCTCTCACTGTCCCTCTGGGCCACCGTTCTCAGCCAGGGGGTGGGCCCTGCTGCCCGGGGAGCCCAAGTCACACAGGGTGCTGCCTGTGGTCACCCTGCTGAGGCTGTGGGAGCTGTGGTGGGGTCTGTGGCGGCGGCACCATGTCCCCAGGCACAGGGCTTCCCGGAAGGTGTCTCGGAAGCGGCTGGACATGAGGCTGTAGAGCACAGGGTTGGCGGCCGAGCTGATGTAGAAGAAGACGCCAGAGACGACGTGCACGTACTGGAAGGCCAGGAGCATGCCGTCTGTCCAGCGGGACACGAAGCTCCACATGAGGCGGTCAGCATGGAACGGGGCCCAGCAGATGCCAAACACCACGACCAGCACAACTGCGGGGACAGAGAAGATGCCCTCTCAGCAGCCCTCCTGGGCTCAGTTTGGTCGCCAGTCTCACCTTCTCTCCAAAGCCACAGGCCAGCCACACCCAGCTGGAAGTTTCTGGAAATCTGCCTGTTCCGGCCACACCCCTTTCAGAGAGGCTGCCCTCCCCACCTTCAGTGACTGGGCAGTGGGTCATGTCCCTGCCTATGGCCACAGCTGATTGGACCAAGTGTGTACACCTGAGCCCAGCTGGTCCGATCAACTTCTCTCACCCTGGAATTTGGAATTGGTAACGCTTGGCTTTAGCTGCTGAACTCTAGTGGGTTAGACAGGCGGGGCAAGGGCCACCCTGGGTGCCGACTGGGGGCCATGCTTGCCGACAGAGGAGCAGGAGAATGGGGCGTGTGCTCAGAGAGCAGCAGAGGTTGTGGGGCCAGAGAGCGACACACACACACACCGCACACGTGTGGGCCTGCCTTGGCCCCGGGCCTCCCCAGCTCCAGCCCCAGCTCCCCAAGGCCCAGCTGAATATCTTGCCTACACTGATTAGCCCTTTTCTTTTCTTTCTTCTCCTGTTTTTTTTTTTTGAGACAGACGTCTCACTTTTGTTGGCCGGCTAGAGTGAGGGCGTGGCGTCCAGCCCTACCGCGGCTCACACCACGAGGGCTCAAGCGAACTCTCCTGCCTCAGCCTGCCACGCACCTGGGACTACGGGCATGCGCCACCATCCGCCGGCTATCTCCTTGTATACTACTAGCCTTTTAGTTGGTCAATTAACTTTTCTATTTTAGTAGCCAGACCGCGGGTCGCTCACGCGCACGGCTTTCGCTCCCGAGACCTCGACGCTCCGCCCGCCTCGGCCTCACGCCAGTGCTCAGGACTTACAGGCCGTGGCAGCCACTGCGCCCCCCTTTTCTTTAAAAACAAATTTTTTTAACAATCACCCACGGCGCTCTCTCTCTCTACTCTCTCTTGACATGCATCTCCCGCACAAATGTACCGCGCGCGCACGGCCTTCACTGTTTCTCTCAAATTCTTTCCTGCCCTGGTCAGACCCAACAGTTGCCTTTCCTTGGGTCTTAGCCACTGAGCTGGGCTTGATTCTCATCTTCTTCTCTTTCCTTCTTATATCCTTTCCTTTCTTCCTTTCTTTCTTCTTTTTCTTTCCTTTCCTTTCTTTTCTTTCTTTTTCTTTCCTTTTTCTTTCTTCTTTCTTTTCTTTTTTTTTGAGACAGAGTCTCAGCTGTGTTGGCCCAGGTAGAGTGAGTGCTTGGTGTCAGCCTAACGGCTCCACAGCAAGCACTCAAACTCTGGGCTCCAAGCAATCCTTCTGTCTCAGCCTCCCAAGTCAGCTGGGACTACAGGCCCAGCCCACCCACATGCCCAGGCTGATTTTTTTCGAATATACGTGACCGGATCTTTCGCGCTGGCCATTATTTCTTTCTACTTTAGTAGCAGAGGGGGTGTCTCACCTCTTGCCAGCGCTGGTTTCGAACTCCTGACCTTGAGCGATCCTCCCACCTTGGCCTCCCAGAGTGCTAGGATTACAGACATGAGCCACCGCACCTGTCTGATTTTTGTTTCTTGTTTCTTGCTTCTCTGACTTGTTAGCTTTCCTGGGACAGTGTCTTCCTCATCAAACCCTAGCATGGTTTTCCTCATAATCCCGTATTTCAAACAGGACGCTGCTTACAGTGTCCCAAGCACATGGCCTTGTGCACAGCAGGCCCTGGGAAAGTGAGCACGAGGGAAGGAGGGAAAGACAGAGGGAGGAGAGAAGGCCAGCAGTCCCAGGGCAGCAAGCAGCAAGCCCACCTTCGGGGGGCGGGGGGGGGGGAGAACCGTCCCAGCTGAGCACCCGCTGCAGACTCTGCACGTGTTCTGGGGAAGGGGGGCAGTGGTAGGAGCCCAAGGTGGGGTGGACAGGGGCAGCTGGTCCGTAGTGCAGACCTCACGGTGCAGAGCTGGGAGGCAACCCAGCCAGGCTAGCCCTGGACTGCCCCAGTCCACACTTCTGGACAGGTTTTTCTGTGCTCTGCACGACAGCCCTCACAAACACACCTCCTGATGACCCTATTTAGACAAACGCTCACTCCAGTGGTTCCCAGAGAACCGCAGACAGAGCACAGTGGAGACTCAGCATCCTGCCCCTCTAGGATCTCCTCCCCTCTGTTGGGGACTTGGCTCCCCCCAGATCCCACTGTGTGGTTCCACTGGGGCTGTGTTGTACCTTAGCATCCCGCCTGCCACTTTGACTTGGAGGTCACCTATGACCTAAGCCCCACCAATCAGAACTCTTCCCTGGGACTTTTCAATAGCCACTAAGGGGAAGTGGGCAGTTCCTCAGGACAGGGGAGCAGGTGGCAATGGCCATGGCTCACAGGCTGCTGAGGCATGTATAGGAATCAAGACGAGAGACCTAGAGTTTCCACGTCCCTGTTTCTATCAGCCTGGCGCCCATCCACATGCATCCACATGGCCCTGCCCTTTCTGTGATTTGGTTCCCGGAGCCAGGGCTGGCTCCGTGGGTGTGCAACCTGTGCGTCTGCACAGGGCCCCAGCTTAGCAGGGTCCCAGGCTCGGTTTAATGCTCTACTCTTGCTTTCATGACATTCTTAACAATTTTTCAACGAGGACACAGAGTTTTTCATTTTGTGCTGGACCCCACAAATTACTCCTACCATGAGTCTTTAATGTGTATCTTTGGTATAAGTTTCTAGCAGGGTAATCTAAAGAGTACACAGGCATATCCATGGACACACACTCACACACACGGCTAGGGGAGTTCCTCCGAACCACACACTTACCTTCCCTAACTCAGACACTCAGCCCCGTCCTCCAGGCCTGGGAGCCCCAGCCTCATACCCAGTGCCTGGCTCACCCCTCTTCCCAGCAGGGCCACTTACACAGCATCTTGGTCACCTGTCTCCGGCCCCTATCCGGCAGCTGGAGTCTGTGGGTGTGGCTGGACGTGGGCATTGCAGCACCCCTGCCCTTGGCCTCCTGCCTGAGCAGGAGCCTCTCCTGCCGCAGCCGCAGCCCGATGAGCAGGTACAGCACGCTGATGGTGGCCATGGGCAGGCAGAAGAAGAGCAGCGCAGTGGTCTGCACCACCAGGTTGTAGAGGGCCCGCGGGCGGACCAGCCCGCACACGGCCGAGTCGGGCACCGTGCCCCGGCAGGGCACGTGCAGCTGCCGGATGCCGTGCAGGCTGGCGTTAGGCAGAGAGCAGAGCACGGCTAGCCCCCAGACCACCGCGAGCACCCGGCGCACGTGGGCCCGTGTCACCATGGACCTGGCCTGGAGCGGGTGCACCACGGCCATGTAGCGCTCCACGCTCAGGGCGGTGACGTTGAGCACCGAGGCCAGGCAGACTGTCTCGAAGAGCAGCGTGCGGAAGTAGCAGCCGCCGGTGCCCAGCAGGAAGGGGTAGTTGTGCCACATCTCGTAGAGCTCCAGGGGCAGGCCCACCAGCAGCACCAGCAGGTCCGACACCGCCAGGCTGAGGAGGTAGTAGTTGGTGGGCGTGCGCATGGCCTTGTGGCGCAGGATGACCGTGCAGGTCAGCCCGTTGCCCACGGCGCCCACCACGAAGATCAGCAGGTAAGTGGCACAGATGGGCAGGAACAGCTCCGTCTGCCGGGGGCCCAGGTACTTGAGTCTCAGCGCCTCGTCGGTCAGGTTCAAATCCTCCAGGTCGAAGCCTGCCCTGACTACACTGACATTGCAGGGCATGGGGCCCCTTGCGTCCCCGGAGGACAGGTCTCCGGGGAGGACGGAGCAATTGAGGCAGAGAGAAGTCTGTGGAACAGAAGGATGAGATGCCCAGGAAGTCATTCAGGGAATCCAGGCCCTGTCCTAACTCATCAAACCAAAGGAGCCACCCAACTAAAATGACTTATTTTATGTACCACTAGGAAAGAAAAATCCTCGGCCATCACTTGTAAGGTGCATTACAATTTCAGAGATGTAGAAATGTACGTCTTTAAAATGACCAAGGCCGGGCGCGGTGGCTCACACCGGTAATCCTAACACTCTGGGAGGCCGAGGCAGGAGGATCGCTCAAAGTCAGGAGTTCAAAACCAGCCTGAGCAAGAGTGAGACCCCATCTCTACTAAAAAATAGAAACAAATTAATTGGCCAACTAAAAATATAGAGAAAAAATTAGCCGAGCATGGTGGTGAATGCCTGTAGTCCCAGCTACTCGGGAGGCTGAGGCAGAAGGATCGCTTGAACCCAAGAGTTTGAGGTTGCTGTGAGCTAGGCTGATGCCACGGCACTCTAGCCCGGGCAACAGAGTGAGACTCTGTCTAAAAAAGAAAGAAAGAAAATGACCAAATGTAGGACCTCGATTTTAAATTTCATGACCTGTTGAAACCTTTGAAGAAATGACAGGTCCTCTGGAGCCCAGGCTTTGCCGGCAGCAGTCTCCCCCTGGGGGCTTCCCCTTCCCAGACATGGACGTGAGGAGAGGCACTCAGTTTGGGCATCTGTAAAATGGGCACTATGTGGAACCTCACGTGGTCTTTAAGGGCAAAGGCTTTGGAAGCAACTGCCTGGATTCACATCCAGCCTCCCCGGTTCCGGACTGTGTGACCTTTGGTAAGGTAACCACTCTAAGGCTGTTTCCTTGTTGGGGGATCCAGGGAGTGTAATCCATGAAAGGTATTCCCCGGGGCCTGCCTGGCACGCCGCAGGGCATGGTAATCACCCCCTTGCCACGCGCCTGCGAGTCGCTGTGGGATCAGGTGAGGGAGTGAAAAGGCTAAAACGAGACGCGCTTGATCCAAAAGTTGGTTCTTGCTTCTGCTTTCTGACAGCTACAGCGTTCAAAGTCTAGATATTCGACGCCCCTGGCACTGCCGCTTCTGGGGTTCCCTCCCCTCTATCGGGCTCCCGCTCACTTTCCTCCTGCCCACCCTCACCCCGCGGAGGAGCTGCGAACGCGCAGGCGCAGACCCGGGTTCCAGGCAGGCGCCCTACTCCGAGCAACGGTCACACGGTCACCGCGCGGGAGCAAAAGGACAGACATGGCCCGAGACGCTGCGAGGCCCCCGGGGGGCGCCCGACCCGGCCTCCGACCCCTTCCGCCCTGGGGCCTCCCTCCCTCCCGCGCCTCTCCCGCCGCGCCCGCGTCGCGCTCACCCACCATGCTGAGTCCCGAGTCCCGGGCGGCGTCACCCGCCGACCCACGGCCCAGCGGACGCGGCGCCAGCAGCCGGGAGACTGACGGACTGACTGACTGACTGACGGCGGCCGGCCCGCAGCCCGCCCCGTCACCGCCTGTCGCAGGCCGGGAACGCCTCCAGGGGGCAGCGCCGCCCCCGCAGCCCGTGGGGCTCGGGACCCGCACCCAGCCAGACGGCCTCGGCGGTGGTTGATGTGGCGCTTCCAGGAGCACCTTTATCTCGCAGAACACTCACAACAACCCATTTTACAGATGAGAAAACTGCGCCTCAGACCCGCAGAGGTGGAGCCCGAGTGACCCGGGACGCCACGCTGTACCCGCCCTCCTGCTGCTGACTGTTATCATAGTCCGTTGTGTCCTTATGACCCCCATCTCCTCCTGCTTCACACTTCGCATACCTCCAAGGAGGCCCCACCGGACATTGAAGTCAACTGGCCCCAACCCCTCCTCTCCGGCCCACGCCCTCTCCTGTCTCCTCAGTCCCTGAGTCCAGGCCCTCTCCCCTCCCCGGACTGCTGAGGGAGCCTCCATTCTCCCTCCCGAGCCCCCCAGCGACGTCACTTCTCTACTGGAAACCCTTGGGTGGAGTCCCCACTTCCTTCTGAAAAAGAACACCCCACTTCCCACCCCCCTGGCCGCCCTTTCCTGCCGATGTTCACTCAGCCCCAATACCCTCCCCCTTAGTCATTTGCATGCTCCCCTCACCCTACCAAGGCGGGGATAGACAGGGATGGAGGGAACCGAGGAAGAGCCAAGAGGGCCTGGCCCCAGCCTCCTGCTCCCCTAGACTGTCCCCATGCAAACCCAGCAGGGGTGCCTTCCCTGCCCCCACATCCTGTGGTCAGCTCCTTACCTGGCAGTTATTTCACCAGGAACTTGCTAGGACCCTAGAGAAAGGGATTGTGACGGCTGAAATGCTGGCTCCTACGCCTCTTCCCAGAGTTTTGAGTCCCTAAGTCTGGGCACGGCCCAGAAATCGTCACACTTGACAGGTGCCTTTCAGAGACTCCTGAGTCCCAGAGTCACACTTTGAGGAGCACAGGGAGGGGTTAACAACAAAGCCCCAGGACCTAGAGAGGCTACTGTGAGCCGTGGGACTCTGCCTCAGTTCCCCTTCCTGTATAATGGGCCGGCTAACCACTGTCGCCAGGACCTTTAAGGGTGATGTGAGATACTGAGCATAAAGGTTCAGCACAGGGGCTGGCACAGGGCCAGCATGCAAGAAACGTCCGATGGGATCATCACCATTTAATGGCAACTGGAGGAGCCACCCTCCTCCCTGGGATTCCTGCACCTCCCCCATGAGTCACTGTCTGGGCTGAGGGTGGGGAGTTAGACCCTTGAGCCTGCACCAGGCCAGCCTTCCCAGGAACTCGACATGTAAACAGGGGCCAGGCATGGGGAGGCTGTGGGACGTGCTTGGGCACACGGTCCCCAGGATCTGGGGAGAAAGGAATCTGGGGTGTCCTGAAAGCTGACTACTTAGCCCTCGATGAGCTAGCCTAGGTAGAGCCTTCAAAATGTAGCTGCTACCATGGTAGGTGAGTGACCCGGGGCAGCGTCACAGGGAAAGAGAGCCCACTGTGGTGTCCCAGACTGCTCTTAGCAAGCGATGGGCATTGTCGAACACTGCCCCTCTCTGGAACACACATGCTGGTGTGGTCGCACATGCGTGTACACACACACACCTGCCTGCACACACTGAGTTCCTTAAACCCACTGTGGACCCTTCAGAGGTGCTCAGAGCCCGCCCCTGCCTCGCAGAGGCAGGATGGCTCCCACCAGCCGGCTGCATAATTCACACTACATTAATAACCATCAAGGACCTCAGATTAAAGGGTACCCCCCAAAAGGAGAGGCCCGGTGCCCATCACAGCCATAGCCCCCACCCTGGCACTGTCCAGAGGGCCATGGTCACCCTGGCCCCTGGCCTTGAGCTGAAGACCACCGCAGCTAAGTGTCCCATCAGAGCCCAGTGACATCCTGCTGCCTCCTGCTCCATCCTGAGGTGGCCTCCCCAGGTTTTCTAGGTGTACACATCCACCTCCTGAGCTTGGCTGGTGGACACCTGCTCAGACCAGGGGGCCAAGGCCCCAACTCTGCACAACAGCAAATACACTTGAGGGAGGACTGCGGGGCGCTGAGATAACCTCCCAGGTCCTGGGCGTGCAGCGCTCACGGCACCCAAGTCGCCCCACCGCCCCTCCTCACCCTGCTGACACTCTGAGAGCCACAGAGGGGGGTGCCCAGGCGGGGCCTAAACCGGAACCTCCTCAGCCTCAGGCTGACCATCAGCTTCTGGCACACTCCTCGTTCCCCCAGAAGCCCCTCAGTCTCACCCCACTTTACTGCCTATAGAGAGGACACAAGGAGGATGAGATGAGTTTGGAGACACCAAGGCACTGGGCGGCCTGGGCACTGAGGACAGCCCAGAACACACTGTCATTGGGCTTCATCAGACAAACATGGAGAGCTGGGAACAGCAAATGTCCAATGCAGGGGACAGTCACCATGCTCATGTGGGCACCTGCCTGGGTCAGAGAGCCGCCCGCCTGCTCAGCTGGCTGGGCCCAAGCCAGGCCGTGGTCAGGAGAGAAAGGAGGAAGGTCTGAGCCCCTCAGGTGGTGGAGTCCTCATCTTGGGGGCTGGGATTACAGCTTGGTGAGCCTCGTGGTCATCCCTACTTCCCGAGCTGCCAGGATTAAGCCAAATAATGTAGGTCAAAGCACTTGTACAGGATTGACATGCTAAAGAAACAATAGCTGGATTTATAATTGGAATTCTCTGGAAGATACTGGAAAGCTGCCAGGAGTCAGGGCTGAAGTGGGAGCTGTGCTTAGCTGGGTTGGAAGGTCGAGGTCCCCAGCAACCCGAGGCCAGAGGGCTGAGCCCCAGTGGAAGGAAGAACATAGACTTGCAGGCGCCTGCTGCAGCGCAGGGACCAGCAGCCAGGGAGACATCCAGGCATTGTCACCTCTGCCCTTCCTGCCTATGGAGAAGGCCACCCGGGACCATCTGTGCAGCCCCTTGCCACCTGAGGGCTGTGAGCTATCCCAGAGACAGCCACAGGTTTCAGGCAGGGTACCGGGCACAGGTAGTCAGCCACCTCCTCCAGGGGCTTGGCCTGGGCCCTGGGCCCTGACATCCTCCACTTGTGGCCAAAGGAGGACATGGTCAGGTCACACGGTCAGAGGGCCAGAAAAAGCCTGGCTCTCTTGTCCTGAGCCTATGTGTCCCTCATGCCACCCTAGGACTGGGCCCAGCTATTAGTGGGTGCCCACAGGGTGCTCCTGGCACCTATGTAAGGGCCCTCAAAATGTCCACTCGGCCTTCCCAGCTAACGGTCCACACTGATCTCACTACAGAAGCTCCTCTGGGGTCTTTCCATTTACAAATGCTCATAGTCATGAGCAAAGTTAGGTTTCAGACAAAAGCTCATGGCCCTAACAGGTGACTGGTATCAGGGCTCGAGAACTTGTTAGTCCAGGGTGATTGGCTGCGTCTGGCTTAGTGTTTTTGTTTTCCTTTTCAACTTTTTATGTCAGCAAAATGTCAGACCTACAGAACAGTTGAAAGAATAGTACAAAGGATTCCTACATCACGCAATTTTCCCAGACAATGAAAGTCAGTGGCAGGTACTTCACCACTAAATATTTAATACTTCAGTTCTGGGTTTGTTTCAGAGCGTTCTATGAAAGTCATTAATCGCACCTGGCCAACAGGCAGAGGCGTGTGGGGCTGGGACGGGTGTTAAGGGAGCAGTCGGCCTGGCAGGAATGAGTAATATTTTATCTCTGACATTGTTTAGAATCACGGGCACATCGTGATAATAAAAAGCAGAGCACGTTTAGTTGGTTCGATTACCGTTTTACAATCCTTCCCCATTACTGCCTGTTCCCAAGGCAAGCCGCTGCCACGGCCAGCAGGTCCTCCAAGTGCGAGGAAAGTCGGAATTACAAAGGAAATAACATTATTGCGTAAAGTGGGGACAATAAATCAAAGAGCCTGACAGTAGTGCCAAGTGATAGTTGCACGTGGAATGAGTCTTTCTAAAACTGCAGTATTCTTAGGGACAAAGACCGAATCACGAGGTGACTGAGTCACCTTTGTGCTGGGCGTGTCCATAGCGACCACCGGACCCGAGAAGGGAGTGAAGGAGTCGCGGAGAGCGTGCAGTGCAGGGACCAGCCTGATGTTAGTAACTCGCCCAGCGTCCCACAGCTAACCAGTGCCGGAGCTGGGATTCGAACTTAAATTTATCACATAAAAAGCTTTCCACCTTTTACTCCACAGTTCTGACTCAAGTTCCCCCATTTGTAAAGATGGTCAAATTTCAAGAGCCTAGACTTAAAAAAAAAAAAAAAAAGTCCCTGGGCATATTTACCACTTTAGACAGCAGGAATTTTATAGACATGTCTGGCATAGGCTGCCTTCTGAAGCCCATGTTACCTTTCCCTCATTGAGTTAGGCTGCTCCCAAAACTGCCCTGGCTTGGTGCTGTTCTTAACGGCCCCTGAACTGCTTGTGGGCAGCACCTTCCATAGGTTAGCCTGGCACCTTCCATGGGCCAGCCTGGCACCTTCCATAGGCTAACCTGGCACCTTCTGGCTCAAGGGCAGCTACTCGGGGGGGGGACCAGCAAGTCCTACTGAGCACCTTTCCTGAGGGAGCTATCATTAGTAGTTAACTTGCTCTGGAACTTTTGATAAAAATTCAAGAGTTCCCTAGTTATTAAAAGAACTTGGATCCTTCCAAGGGGCTTTACCATGTGGCTGCAGTTCAGAGAAGCTGTAAGATGTGTGTCCAGGAACAGAATTTTTAATCCCCTTCATCCTTAGGGTGGCAGGCTGTTGGGAGCATGCTGCTTAGACTTGCTATGCCTCAGTTTCCTCATCTGAAAAATGAGGGTGACAACAGTACCTACTGCATAGGCTTATTATGAGGATTAGAGTACCCAGAGGGCACTTAGCAGGCACCTATAACTATTTTTCAAATAAATGAAGAGTAAGTGCATGTTTCAGAGCTTGGTACAAAAAGGAAGTGATTTTTAATATTTTTTCTCCAAGGCAGCAAGAGACAATATCCTAGCGGTCTCTGCTTTAGCCCCTGAGAGGAGTGGGGTGGAGAGAGGCGCTGGAGGACCAGGAGGCAGCAAGCCAGAGGCAGGCCGCACTGGCAGTTGCTGGGCATCCTTGCTTTCTTCCCGTGGCGGTCTCGCCAGGATCCTGCCTTCGGCCACTCCTGTTCCCAGAAGGCTCTCAAGTGTGTTTGTGGGAACACACTTGAGGAGGGAGCTGGCCCCGGCAGGCCTTTATTAGGGCAGAATGGAGCGTGGTCAGGCCCTGGCCAAGCCCCAGCCTCCCAGGGACACCAGGAGGACCCTGGCCCCTCCGCCCTGCCCCAGGCTCTGCCCTTCCCTGAGCAGCAAGGTTGGGGAGGGAGGCCAGGCAGAGCAAGAGCCAGCACTGGGAGGGGACGGGCCTGGGCCCCTGGGGGTGTGTTCTGTTCATTGCACCTTATGAAGCCGTGCGCAGTTTGGATCGTAGCGTCACTGAAGGCATTAACTGTATTCCCGTGACCCACGTGGTGCCTGCCAGCCTCCTCCTCCGCAGAGCTACGCTCTTCCCTTGGGGATGAGCAGGCATGTTGGGGGGAGGTACTTTGAGATTATAGAAATGTCCCATTTCTCATCAAATTTTACCCACTAGTTTTAGCATCTGTTTATGATTCTGGGATGAATTAATGATCACTATGATGGCTGCCAAATGGTGATTCTAAACCTCATCATCCCATCATTTCTTGGCTGCCATTGACTGTAAGGAAAAACTTTCTCTTACCACTGTTTACACCCATGTGGACTCAGGACTTCTTACTCTACTCGGCGGATAACAATTCATTATCGTTATTTATGTTAATGTTCAAATGCGGGAACCCCTTCAAGCTGGCTCCTGTATCCCTTTGACATGTCGTTATCATAAATATTTTTGTATTTTCTGGCACAACAAGGTATTCCAGGCTCATCGTGTATTTGCCTGGGCCAGGCTGGACTAAGGCATTTTCCCAGGAGCCCTGGCTCCGTTTGGTGGAGAATGACATTCAGAAGGCAAAGTCTGGGTGCTGGGTGTGCTCGTGGCTGCTGGCCTTCCTAGTGGGCAGAGCCAGGGCATACATGTAGGCAGAAACACAAATACATGCACGCACACAAACACATATGCTGTGTGTATACACATTGATATTGATACTTACCTTTATACCTGTAAGTATGAAAAACATGCACTGACATCAGTGGCTCTAAGTCCAATCTGACACCACATGGTCACTACACCTCCCTGAGAGGAAGAAACTGGCCTCCCGTTATTTTCAGCGTATTTCCTTATCAGGCCAATCCCCTGAGCATGTAACCCATTTTCCATTGCCGCCGTCACTGCGCCTGTGTAGACACCCTCCCCACTCACTCTGAAGCCTTGCTCTGGGCTGTCCCCGTCCCCTGCATGGACACCCTCCTCACAGCACCAGGCTCCCAAACAGAGGGAAACACCCTCCCTCACTGTGAACGGGGATGTCAGCATTTCTGGAGCGCAAGTTTAGCAATGGCTAGCAAAGTAAAGAAGTCTATCCCTGGGGGGAGGGGGGGAAATGGGCATTTATTGAAACCTTAAAATCTGTACCCCCATAATATGCCGAAATAAAAAAAAATCTAATATCAGAACTTAATTATCTAATAAAATGAATATCTGTTTGACTAAAAAAAAAAAAAAAAGAAGTCTATCCCTTTGGCCCTGCAACTTTACCTCTTGGAATTTATGGAAAAGAATTGTAGCTCAAATACATAGAGATGAGTGGTACTAGTGATAGCCTTGTGTCTGGGCAACAGTAAGCTTTCAGTAATGTTTTAGGGGAGTCAAAAGTTATAGGTAGATTTTTTACTGCATGGGAGTCAGCGTCCCTGACCACCTGTTGTTCAAGGGTCAACTGTAGTTAAAGAAGTCCCAGGAGGTCTGCAGAAATAGCTGTGGACCAACCACTAGGGGAGGAGTAGATAACAACTAAGTTCCAGCCAGGCGTGGTGGCTCGTGCCTGTAACCCTAGCACTCTAGGAGGCCGAGGCGGGAGGATCACTCGAAATCAGGAGGTCAAGACCAGCCTGAGCAAGAGTGAGACCCCGTCCTACTATAAATAGAAAGAAATTAGCCGGGCATGGTGGCACATATTTGTAGTCTCAGCTATTCGGGAGGCTGAAGCAGTAGGATCGCTTGAGCCCAGGAGTTTGAGGTTGCTGTGAGCTAGGCTGACGCCACGGCACTCTAGCCCAGGCAATAGAGTGAGACTCTGTCTCAAAAAACAAAACAAAACAAAGAACTAAGTTCCAACCATAGGACTGGAGACAGAGCCAGGGCAGGGTACACCCTGGCAGAGGAAGGATGGATATTGGCACCAGGACAAGCACTGGGTGGTGGTGGCCCCTCAGTGATGGGCCATAGACATTCGCAGACATGGGCTGTCCGTGCTGACAGCTTCTCTCTCTGCCCAAGAGTGTTCGTTAGCACATTGGCATCCACCATGGCCCCCAGTGAGCCCCACATTCTGGTTTTCATGCCCTTGTTCACTTGCCTTGCACACTGAATAGGGCTGAACCATTCTTGGACAGCGTCTACTGTCCAAGTCTAGACCATAAAAGTATTATGGAAACAAACAAGCCGATTTAAAAACAGGCAAAGGATTTAAATAGACATTTCTCCAAAGAAAGTATATAAATGGCCAGTAAACACATGAAAAAAGGCTGAATATCACTAATCATAGGGAAATGCAAATCAAAACCACCCTGCAATACCACCTCACACTCACTACTATTTTAAAAAAGAAACAGAAAACATGTGTTGGGGATGTGGAGAAATTGGAACCTTTGTGCACTGTCAGTGGGAATGTAAAATGGTACCACTGAAATGGAAAAGAGCATGGCAGTTCCTCAAAAAGTTAAAAATAAAATTACTACCATATGATCCAGCAATTCCACTTCTGGGCATATACCTGGAAGATTTGAAAGCAAACACGCAAAGAGACATTTGTATACCCGTGTTCATAGCAGGATCTTTCGCAAAAGCCAAAAAGGTGGAAACAACTCAGGTGTCCCCTGGCAGATGGATGGGTAAATAAAATGTGGTATACATGCTCTATGGAATAATATTCTGCCTTCAAAAGGAAGGAGAAACTGACACATGCTACAGTGTGAATGAAGCTTGAGGACACTATGCTAAGTAAAATAAGTCACAAAAGGACAAATACTATATGATTCCACTCATATGAGGTACCAAGAGCAGCCAGATTCATAGAGACAGAAAGAAGAACGATGTCGCCAACTGGCTGGAGGAGGGACCCTGGGGGCTGGGAGGTTGTTGTTTACTAGGTACAGAGTTTCAGCTGTACAAGATGAAAAGAGTTGTGTGGGCGATAGCAGTGATGGTACCATAACACAGTGAGTGTACTTAATGCCACTGATTGTGTGCTTAAAAATGGTTCAGATGGTAAAATGTGTGTTATGTGTATTTTGCCACAATTTAAAAATATTTTTAAAATAAAAGCATTGCAGCTTCTGCACTACTCCCTTTTGAATCACTTGCTCTTATGGAAGCAGCTGCCATGTTGTGGGGTCACTCAAGCAGCTCTCCAGGAAGGTCTACCTGGCGAGGAGCTAAGGACTCCTGCCAGCAACCAGCACCAACTTGCCGGCCAGGGAGCCAGCCATGCTGCAAACAGATCCTCCAGCCCCAAACATTCATGTGCATGTTGCTGTATAGACTATGTTTCCAAGATGTCTATTCACATCTTCAAGATGATTCTAGCCTCCTCAGTGGCCCTGAGCCAGCTCAGTAGCTCCCACATTCCTGACCCACAGAAATGTGTGAATTTTCTTAAGCTGCCAAGATTTGGGGTAATTTGTTATGCGGCAACAGATAACTAATGCCTTCATACACTACTGGTAGGAATGTAAAGTGGTGTAGCCACTTGGGAAAACAAGCTGGCAATTCCCCAAATGATTGTAGAGTTACTATATGATCCAGCAATTCTACTCCTGGATGTATACCCAGGAGAGATTAAAACACATGTCCATACAAAAAATGTACATGAATGTTTACAGCAGCATTATTCATGATAGCTAAAAAGCAGAAACAATTCAAATACCCATCAATGGTTAAATGGATAAATAAGATGTGGTATAGCCATACAAAGGAATATTATTTAGCCATAAAAAGGAATGAAGTACTGATACATGCTGTAAGTTGGAAAGTGAAAGAAGCCAGTCACAAAAGCCCGTGTGTTATATGGTTCCATTCGCAGTAAAGTCAGAACAGGACAATCCATAGAGACAGAAAGTAGGTGAGTGGCCGCTTAGGGCTGAGGCAGGGACGGAGAGGAGGTGGTAGCTAATGATGCGGGGTTTCTTTTTGAGGTGATAAATATGTTCTAAGTTTGACTGTGGTAATGGTTGCACATATCTGTGAATATACTAAAAACCATTGAATTGTACACTTTGAAATGGGCCAATGTGAATCGTATATGGTATGTGAGTAATAGCGCAATAAAAGCAGATGACTAACACACCATGGCTTCCTCACCCCGCAGGGTGACAACTCCGAGTCCTGTTCCACCTGGTTTCTCAGAAGGTCCCTGGGGGACCGGGCCCAGTGCTCACCGCCCTGACTTGCCTGTGAATACCCACTGCACTCCTTTCCTGTCTTCGTTGTCTCCACCCCCTCAGCACGCTTTCTGGGATTACATATCAAATAAACGACTCCATCCAATTCTTGCCCCTGGGTCTGCTTTTTGAGGGAACCCGAGCTAGAGCAACCATCCTCCTTGGGCCGGAAGTCAAGGTCCTTGCAACCCAAGGTGCCCCTTCCGAGCCCCGGCGGCGGGGCCCCTGGCCAGGAGCGCGGCCCGACGTCAGAGCCAGGCCCAGCCCGGCCAGCAGGCCTGGCATCAGCGCGATGAGGACTGCACACACGCTAACACACGTGCGCACACGCGTTCAGGCCCGGGAACGGGGGCAAGGACGGTTAATTAGCCAAGCCCTGTCGCCGCCCTTTACCCCAGAGTCAGGCTGTGTGGGACGTGCTCCTCTCCCTTCGCTGGATTTCGCTTGTCCCCGCCGCTGGGCTTCAGCCGACCACACAAACCACCGAGGCGGAGAGAGAGGAAGTTACGGAGGGGGGTGGGGCAGAGTTCAGCACACTCCGTGGGAAGGGTCAGACCCTTCGCCTGGGACCTTGAATTATCTGATTAAGAGAAGGCAAAGGCTGCACAGCCAAGACTTGACATCAGTGAACCAGGAACAGCCCTCGGGCCCCCGAGAAGGGGTGTATCAGTCTGCTGGGGCTGCCGTAACAAAATGCCCCGGACTGGGTGGTTCAACAACAGCAATTTACTTTCTCATAGTTCTGGACACCGGAAGTCCAAGATCAAGGTGTCGTCGGCAGGTTCGGCTCTCCCGAGGCCCCTCCTTGGCTTGCAGGTGGCCGTCTTCACCCTGTGTCCTCACACGGTCTTTCCTCTGTGCATGCGCGTGTTTGTGTCCCGCTCTCTTCTCCGTATAAGCACAAGTCACATTGGATCGGGGCCCAGCCCTAAACCCTCATTTTACTGAATTACCTCTTTAAAGGCCCTGTCTCCAAATACAGCCACATTCCAAGGCACTGGGAGGTTAGCACTTCAACACACTAATTTTGCTTTTCTTTTCTTTCTTTCTTTCTTTTTTTTTTTTTTGAGACAGAGTCTCCCTTGGTTGCCCAGGTAAGTGCCGTGGCGTCAGCCCAGCTCACAGCAACCTCAAACTCCTAGGCTCAAGCAATCCTCCTGCTTCAGCCTCCCAAGTAGCTGGGACTACAGGTGCACACCACCACGCCCGGCTAATTTTTCTATTTTTTAGTAAAGATAGGTTCTTGCTCTTGCTCTTGCTCAGGCTGGTCTCAAACTCCTGAGCTCAAGCAATCCTCCTGCTTCGGCCCCCCAGAGTACTAGGATTACAGGCGTGAACCACCTTGCCCGGCCAACACATGAATTTCGGTGGGACACAATTCAGCCCATGACAAGGGGAAGGAGGAAAAGGGAGCAGCCTGGTGAGGTATCTCCTGCCCAGCAAGGCCTTGGTCATTTGGCCGTGACCTCACTACTGACTGTCACTCTGAGCACAGGCCAAGAGTCAAACAGCAGAGAGGAAAGCTTTGGGCTCAACACGGTCCCCACACCAGGCTCCAGGCCCAGGTGGGGAAACAGATGCCCAGAATTTTATTCTTTCACAAATACAGGCCTGTTCAGCCTCAGTCGAGCTAAGGACCCTCACTGCCCTCATTGTCAAGCCAAGGCCCGTGGTCGGTGTTGATGTCCCAGTGCTCACACACAGAGTTGCCCAGAACAACAGAACAGGAGAACTTCAGGTTGGCCCAAAGATTTCATGAGTTCATCACAGAATACGGACTTTGGTTTCATTTTGTATATATTTTACTGAGTTAGTTTTATGTGCCAACTTGGCTAGGCTATAGTACCCAGGTATTAACTCTAACGCTAGTCTACAGTGCTAGTCTAAGCGCTTCCATGAAGGTATTTTGTAGGCGTGGCTAACATCTACAGAGAGTCGACTTCAAGTCAAGGAAATTATCCTCGAGAAGGTGGGTGAGCCTCG